TTTAGAAACCTTCGCTCCTATTTTTAACGTTAAAGATGAACTTCTTTAAAACTCGCATCAACAAGCTAGCAGAGCGCCCCTACAGCAACGTTTAGAGTATTTTAATTTACTATCTAATCCCGGTGTACCGTCTTTGAATTAAATATTATAGAATAAAAGGAAATGAGAAGGAAAAGTTCAAACACAGATTTTTTGTGTGGCATCGTGGCGCCCGTAAAATAATGAAATCGATGATGCACTTTTTCACAATTGGGCAATTTTTATCAACTTTTTTTGCTTTGCTCAACTTCTTTTATATTAATTTAAAACATATTTCTGGTTGTATTTTACTGGGAAAAAACGTTTGTCAAAGGCCTACAAATGTGAATGAAATTGCAGATTCCAAGGTAACTAGCTTCCAAACTTTGGAAGTCTTAAAACTTTGGCGATCAATTGCTTGCTAATTTCATCTCTGACTCAAAAAGACTCTAGCCTTTTTCAGTCACAGATATCTAATCCCAATGCAGTGCTTATGACTGAAATGACTTTAGGCCATTCCCAAAGGGGAGACATTAACATCTTCTTATGCACAGTAGAATTGTAAATGAGCTAATTATCAATATCCGGCTGATACTGTGCAGGAACGACATAGGGGGAACTGCTGCTTTTTCTTTCTTCATCCTTACTATCGTCATTTTGTCCTCTACTTCTATTGTATGTTTGTCACTCTCTTGTGAACTGCTATTTCCGGGGTATCTTAATAGTCGAAGCAGACGTTGTGCTCATAATGCAAGAGAGGTGAGCAGAGTAAGCCTGATTCCCCGTTTGGACTTCTCTGTTGACATCGACCCCATGGCGCTCATATGACCATATGCACTTGCGAGTACCGTAAAACCTTACTAAAACTAAACTAAACAGATATCTCGACTTCTATTCAAGATAGATGGGTATTATCTCCACTACAAGCAAGCCAAATGAACAAGCTTTAATATGCTACCAATAATGCTACCTATTCTGCCCCAAAGTTGTCGAGATCCATCGCGTGAGAACACAAAGTATAACGTCCTCCTCTGGGCTCCTGTCTCTTTCTGCAGCCTTTCTACTGCTTCTCCTTGCCTCCTTCTTATTGCTGTCTTTTAGCCACACCCCTGATCTTATGGTAGGTAAGGTCTACACCTAACCTTCTCGGACAAGAGTGAAAAATCTCGGAAGTACCGCGTGCAACTTGTGCTCGTTAAAGATCCCCTGGTGGCCAAAAAGCGATAAGAGTAGTCTTCGGCCGATACCTGGGCTAAATTCTAAATTTCCTACCACCTGAAAATTTTAGGTGTGTCCCGAGAGCTCACATGACCTTATGCATCTGCAAGCGCCGTAAAACACTTACCAACACCCCCCCATCCCCAGAACAAACCCACAAAAAACAAACACCCCCCCCCCAAAAAAAATACCATAAGTGATTAAAGTCACTGGGGTATGAATGGATCGAAACCAGCGTGATAAGTTGCGCCCCCTGATGGCAAGACGGGCGAACGACATTCTGTTCCTATGACAAAACGCAGTAATTGCAAAAAAGTGAGAGAGGTCTATAAAAGCTGCTGATTGTTTAGTTCACGACCATAGATATAGTATACCAGTTTCTTCCTTTTTAAATATTTTTTTTATTTTAAACTAAGAGCTACTTGAATAAACGATTTTCGTGATTTTCTTTTTAGAAAATGCCCCAATTTCTCTAGTTATACTAAAAATGTTCATGTGGAATCATAATAATGGAACCCAAATACATACATAAAGCTGGGCGACACAAATCGCAAATTCAATACGTTCCCGAAACAATTTTATGGGCAAAATGAGAAAAAAAAGAACGGGAAATATAAATCCCGATGCACAAGATAGAATTACAACAATGTGTTAATGATAAATGATGTCTATTGAAAGAAAAACGAAACAAAAGGAAACGTGTAAAATTATTAATGCCTCTGGTTCCGCCACGTAATTTAGTGACCAGTAGTCTTATGGCATGGATTTATCATTATTAAAAGGTCAGACTTTCGATTTAAAGGAAATAAGTGAATATTCGAATATTGCAGATAACCCAATCTTCCACATGAAGTCATGGACATAATCTCTCTCCTGCTAAGATAATGGCCCAACTCAGACAGAGGCTATGTCATACTGACACAGCCTGGTATTTCTTCAATGACGTTCTATCACTATGTTAGAATTTGATGATGTAAATGTAATAACAATATTCCTAAGTTTAAAGAGAAGTGTTATGGTCTTCGTCAGAAAAAGACTACAGATTTGATGGTTTTGCCATACGTATTCAAAACTTATGTTACACTAATACACTAATTATTCTTTCCTTTAGAATCTTTAATTCTTTAACCTATCTCTTTCTCATTCAGCTCTTTCCTTTCTCCCACCCCTTTTCTAAATCTCACTGGGTTTTGGTTTTATTTTGTTTTCATGTCAAAACTCAAAGCCTCTATTTCCAATCATTTTTCCACAACCCCCCCTGTCCCCCATCCCCAAAGCAGTGATTTAAAGCTTCTAATATTTTCTTTTTCTGGAACGCACATTTACAAACGGTTATTTCACAACTGGACAAATATGCTATTCTTTATCAAATTGTCCATCTTTCCTCAACTGCAGTTTCAACTTTGCTCTCTCTGCTCCATTTCTACAAGCTGGCAATTAGAGTAAAACATATACAACCCTGTTCCTTTCCCCAAAGACCATCGAATGACCACAAAAACTCCTACCCTACCTCACCCAAACCTGAACACCCCCCCCCCACACACACACCTTTTTTTCAGAAAAAAAATATTTAAAAGTCCAATTATCCACAAACTTCGTTGTGGCTGTCCACTGTCCAGTCCACCCATACATCCGGGAAAGAAAAATCACATTAAACCCCCCCCACACTAAACAGCAATGAGTCACCAGCGATCCGACTCACCAGGTCGTAAGGACTGGAGACGTTGTGGTTTCTTGTGACCAGGAAAGTGGCCCCGTAGTTTGCGTCGTGATAGAAGCCAATCCTCTGTGAACAGTGACAGTGATGGACGTCTTTAAAACAAAGTTTTAGCAAGAGTTTTACGGCACTTGCAACACAATAAGGTTATATAAATGGTGAAGATTAGAGGTGTTACAAGAGAGTAACAAACAAAAAAAAGAAGGAGGGGATATCAAGACGATATAAGTGTCTCTCTCTCTCTCTCTCTCTCTCTCTCTCTCTCTCTCTCTCTCTCTCTCTCTCTCTCTCTCTGAGTGTGTGTGTGTATGTGTGTGAGAGTGAATGTATTTATGTGTGTATGTCTGTGTGTATGTGTGTGTATGTGTGTATACGTGAGTGTGTGTGTATGTGTGTGTTATTCAGTTTGTGTGTGAGTGCGTGTGTGTGTA